CTCCTGCTCAAGACCGAGACGGCAGAAAGCGTTTGTTTTCTTTATTTTATAAAAGCACAACGTTTTGTTGATTATTGTGAGTGCACACAAATAAAAGTAGACCCTTTATAGTTTAGAATGATGATTTACTATTACCTTTATGAGCAAAAAATGACAAAATTTAAGTTGTTTCCACTGTTCGAAAAAATGCAAGTGATCACGCTGGCGCCTCCATGTCCTGCAGAGCGCGCTTCAGCTTCCACTCTCTGCACAAACGATTGGAAATGCGTCTAACAGCGCACATTTATATAGGTTAAACATTTAAACTAATATTGTGATATGCTTGAAATGTTTTATATCTTTAGATTTTATTTTAGGCAAGTCGTGAAGATGTGAGAATGCTAAATTGATCAAACATATAGGCTATGATTAATTCACTGTCTGCCACTTACATTTAATGAATTTAACGATATGATTCACAAGACTGATTTCACAATACAACTTTTTTTTTATAACCAAAAGTTTAAAGACAAATTATAAATAAAAAGGTGTCCTTTTTTTTCTCAGACAAAATGCTGCACATTTCTTTGTATAATTGAAATATCAAATAACATATCCCAAATCAAATAAATAAACAATGCAAATAAACAAAATCTCTTCATATGAACAAACTAAGGCTTTGCCTGTGCTCTTTCTACTTAAAATTAGAGGCAACCACTGCATTTTAATAACGATCCAAACAAAGATGCTGCATACATGCAGCGTGAGCAGTTTTTGATTTAAATTAGGTTGTATAATTTCAAAATTTGAAGCAAAAAAAGAATGGTCTGACTTTAGCTTTGTGAAACTATACTACATAAAACATCTGCACGAAACAAAAACAGCAGACGGACTGAATGAGAACGTAAATGCACTCTCTGACAGCAGGTGGCGCTTATGGAACAGAAGCAATATAGTGTTTTCTCGGTTACCGCTGTAAACAAAGCAGAGCTGCTCTTAACTACTTTTATATGCATTATACAGAGGCCATATGAAAAGAAAATACCATCTAAACTTTTCTGAAGTTCCCCTCAGAGATACATTCATATAAACCCCCACCCTCAACTGTATCGCGATTCGTTTAACATCTCAACTAACATGAATCGTCACATATTTGTATCGATTTTCAACTAGCTCGTTACATCCCTAGTTACTACTGTAACGAACACAACTTTTATGCGCATCAGATTAGCTGATAAACCGAGCAGTCTTATTTCTGTGTTGTTATTAATGTTGTGGTTATTTCAGCAGTTTGCTTCATACATTCAATTTAACATCAGGTTAAAGACGGCAAACTTTATCGTTCAATTTTAGACACTTAATGTATATTCTTGCTGCATCCATGAAATAAATGCACAACCTTCAATGATTGTGGTTTTCTAGTGTATTTAATTGAACTGCTCAGGAATGGCCCATTTCAGGGGTGTCCTGAGTTACAATTTAAAATCAATTGAAGCTGTAGAAATGTATCTACCACTATATGATAAAGTAAAGACTCATATTTTAAGTAGGCTGCTGTGCTTCGAGCTTCATATTTCGAGTAGGTTGCTGTGGAGCAGGCGACCAGAGCGGAGCAGGTGACCAAGGTGAAGCCTGCGGAGCAGGAGACCACCAGAGGTCAGGAGGCCATGGTGGAGCAGAGACATGGACAGACCAATCAATGGCAGTAACACGACAAGCAGAGAGTTCATGAACGGCCTCCGTGGCCACGACATGACAGGCAGAATATCCTTGAACAGCCTCAGTGGCCGTAGCATGACATGCAGAGAAATTGTGAGCGGCCTCCATTGCTATGATATAACAGACAGTGTTCAGAGATGGCCTCCATAGCCGTGACAGGACAGGCAAGGGGTTCAGGGACGGCCTCCTTGGCCGTGGCAGGACAGGCAGAGATTTCAGGGATGGCAGAGAGTTCACAGGTTGGCACCAACACAGGACTGAGCTCTAGGGCTTGAGTGGGCTCTGGAGCAGATTAATGGATGGGAGTGGGCTCTGGAGCGGATTCATGGACTGGAGCAGGCTCTGGAGTGGATTAATTCATGCCGTCACAGGAAGTGCAGACGACAGTGGCAGAAACTCAGGGACTCCCAGACGTGGACTTGAGACCCCTGGACAAGATCTGTTTGCTGCTCGCACTGAACTCAAAGGTGGAACAATAACACTGGCCATTAGTCTTATCGGTCTCGGCCCAAGCTCTGCATACGTTGGAACAGGCTCTGGATTGACAGGCATGACATGAACAGGCTCTGGCGGTCGTGGCATGAATAAATCCTGACATGACGGTCGGGACGTGGAAATGCTCTGGTGTAGCAGCCATGACGTGATGAAACTTGGGCGTGGCAGGCATGATGGCCGAGGGCACTGGCGTAGTAGGTACTGGAGAATTGTGGGGTTCCTCATCCATAGTCCCCACAGTAAATGAGGAACCACTCAGCAGAAGGGCATGGTCCAGGGCTCGCAAAATGTCAAAATCCCTGGTAGCCCTTCGGGCAGGTACTCTTCAGGTTTTGGTAGCCTGAAAATTAATTTAACTAGCCCAAATAAAAAATACATTTTTTTTTTTAAAAGGGTCATATGATGTTGCTAAAAAGAACATTATTTTCGGCGCGGCCGGCGGATTCGACGAAGCGGCCGGTGGGCTTGCGGCAACCACGTGTGACGACCCCAGGCTGGACTCCGCTTCATCCATGGTGAAAGCAGATCCGAATCCGATCCAACAACGCAAAGTTGTTGTATTTCCTCAGTAACCAGCACGGATCAGAAGAATATCTCTTTGGATTTGAGACTTTAGTCTTTGCAACTTTACAGATCTTCTTTATGCACCAAGAGCTTGTAACACTCTAAAGAGAAAGGAAAAATTGAAATTGCATCATATGACCCCTTTAATATAGAAAATCAGATAGGAGTTTAAATGTCAATCAAAAATATTTTCAATTTACAAATATCAACAAATATAAAGGAAGGAATTTTATTTCACTATTTACAGGGTATCTACAGAATTTAAAAGAAATTTAAGGCAATTTATGACCCATTTTAAGAACTGCGCAAGTAAAATGAACACAGTATGAGTGGAGTTGGACAATGTCTGTGGTAACATACAGTACTGAGACATAAAATTACATGATTTGCAGTTCAGATACAGTTTTTTACAAAAACAAAAATCTTACATCTGACCATAATCACAAAGAAAGGCTTATTGGAAATGCAAATTCATTCTCTGCCACAAGGCGCTGAAATATTGCGGTTTCCCCATAACGGCTGTACACAAAGCAGCTCTGGGCTCATAAATGCTGCTTTATCAGGATTATTTTAATGAAATTAAAATGCCAACGACACGTTTCTGAGGACAGTCGGTTCCCTTCAGATACATAGAATTAAACGCGCCGCGTTTTGACTTGACAGGTGCAGCGCTCATATTTATTCAATGACATCATTGCCTTTTGAAGTTTAATCCAGTCGTATCACGCAACTCTTGTCTTTCCGTCCCCAACTGTAAGACCTCTTGAAATTATAATTAAGACATTTCTTATACCATTTAACATATTTAAAACTTTTTTATGGCCTTAAGTTTGATACAACTCACGTTAGGAGTTTTTAAGGACCCTGCGGGAGATCTGCATTTAAGATCCAGAGTGGTGATACATTTTGGTAGCCCGACTGGAAAACACAATAGCCCCGGGACGTTGGGCTAGCGATTTTGCGAGCCCTGTGGTCTATGAATTTCACCAGGGACCAGTGTATCCTTGCCCCTGTTCATTTAACCCATTATGAAAAATGTCTTTTAATGCCAAATTATTAAAGTTGACAGAGTCAACAGAATTCCTCCATGTAGTCCTCTATGCATCGATCCCCTTGACGGAGGCAAAGCAAGGAAACTGCTGGGTTCATGGTAACGGTCTAGCTTTCTGTAACGTAGAGTCCACTGGAGGCAAGATGAAGGAACCCAAGTGCAGTTTTATTAATTCCAAAAAGTGAGCAGAAACACCATATACAAAGACTTGGCTTGACTAAACAAAACTTGAACATGAACACAACTCTTCAACAGTGGGTTACATGAACAAAGCTAGACAATGAAACATGAGGGCTATGTATACCAAACAGGGTTTACATGATACAATCCAACCAATGAGAATTTCACACAAACTAATCTACTTTGTTGTCTTGTGTGCTCATTCAATAACATTTGTCTGATACTCTTAGGCTGATGATACACGGGGCAACTTTTTAAGCAATGTTGCTGTCAACGGGCAACCAGATGAGACGCAGGACCCACGACCGATCTAAAGTATCCAGATAGACATTTGTTATCCATTCTCAATGTGAAAGTGCCTAAACAACATTGCTCAAAAAAAGTTGCACCATGTATCATCAGCCTTAGGCTCTGATACTCTTAGCTTCTCAATACTCAAATTGATGCTTCCTCATTTCCTTGCTCCTCCATCCTCCAGCCTGTGACATGGAAACCGATCAAAGTTAGCCATGTTTTTTTTTAGCCATCTTTTCTTATTTTGTATTTGTATTTTATTTTTAAGAACAGCATATTATAACAAATATACCACCAAAATAATTAACCAGGCCCCAGAGACAAAAACTGGTAAACAGAGATTGAAGTAATCAAATCGAATCAAATAAGAAAAAGGAAATTGGAGCAAAGATTTAGATCATTAAATCAGACACCAGAACAAAACATTAACGTACCAGAATTTTACATGTGTACATAATCTTGTGCACCTTTCTACCCTTTCCTACATAATTTGTTAATTTTGTTATGTAATATTCTTGATAGTGGGCTCCATCTATCCTCAAAAATGTTCAACAAGTCTTAAGGAGTAGGTTATTTGTATATATTTTTGTATATATCTCTTGGACCCTTTGAACCCACTGTTCAAATGTGGGTGGTTCCAGCTTGAGCTATTTAAAAAGGACATCTCAATTCTCTAATTGCACCGTGAGGAAGCTTCCAAAGGAGCCATACATCTCATATTTCAACAGGGCATCTTGCTTTCATAATAGTTATTATGAATGTCTTAAAAAACAAACTTTAACAGCATAAGGCCAGATCCCATGAGTGCAGCTGATGACGCTTTGAAGCGACGCTTGAGTGATCAAGAATATTCTAATATACAAAGCTTTCCTTTGACTCCTCCATCCTCATTTTCTTTCCTTGCATCCTTCCCTCACATCCTAAGGGGGTGGACCTAAGATGCAAGGAAAGGAAACAAGGATGCACAAATAAGAAATGAGAAGCACAATTAGATTAGTGTTGTTTCCACATTGTGCATCTGCTGTTGCCTTATGGTTTTCCTTAAAATTAATTTCCCTAAAATTAATCATTGAAATTTCACTGTGATGTGGTGAAATGATCACCACATCACAATGATCCACCATTGTATCAGTTTCATCCTCCATGTTGTATGTTATCTGTGGTAGACTGTGTTGCCTTCCATTATGGGTGATGAATTATTCAATTCAATTTTAACTGTTCTCACTGTTCTTGGCTTGTCTGATGTGATATTCTGTCCAATGTGACCACCGACCCCAGATGAGTTCCCCACCCCTGTCATAAACTAAAAATGAGAGCGATTAATCTTTTTCATTTAAGTATCTGCCTTATGTTTGGCTGTTGTGGTTTAAATATGCCTATTGTTCAATGATTTATTATTATTTATTATTTTAAAGGCCAAGGAATTATTACAGCGGGCATTTTAAAGAAAGTTCTTACTACATCCTCCATCCAGACTTTCTCAGATATGTGCGTAACAGGTAAGAGCTGAAATTTCCATACATGTGCACTCATTAGTTAATTTACCATATATTCAGTACATGTGGTGGTTTCTGCCTCTTCTATGAGAAATCACTCTGGAAGTCTTGAGATTTTGATATCTATCTATCTATCTCTCTATCTCTCTCTCTCTCTCTCTCTATCTATCTGGTTTTATTCACATTCAGTTCATTTTATTTATATATATATATATATATATATATATGGTTTTATTCACATTGATTATACTTGATTAATTCATATTTTGATTAATGAAAATCTACATATATGAAGTTGTCAGTTCATTATTTGTTAATGGCCATGTCTTACACTTTTCATTTTAGGTTTCTTTGGGGAAAACAATTAAAAACAAAAAGATGGTGGCTGGTCAGGCCCACTAATGGAGCATTTACTCTTCTGCTGGCTATGCACACATGTGACATTGTAAGTGCTATTGTAGTACTACTACTACTACTACTACTACTACTACTACTAATTATTATTATTATTTGCCAGCTTTTCTTGAAGTCCAATTGTTCATTTAAAAGCATTCAGGTTTAGTTGAACCAGCCCCTGAGCTTATTGTTTTATAGTAATGTCATGTTTTTTTCCTGCTCTCATGTAGGTGAGAGTCTATGGTTTTAGCACTGCTGACTATCGGAAATATCCAAACTACTACTATGACACCAAACATACTAAACTAGTGTTTTTTGCTAATCATGATTATCGTTTGGAGATGAAAACCTGGAAGGAATTTCACGATGACAAATTTATCTGGATGTATTTAGGAAAATCTGATATCTAAATGAATCTGTTTCTCTTGCAAGAAATTCATCATCTTTGAAATGACCCAAATAATTACTAGACAAAGAATGTAGTTGAGTCAGTGTTTTTTTTTTTAAACAATCAGAAAGTGTAACTTGTTGCAAATGTTTTTTTTTTTAATATAACTTTTTGTATCGTTAGTTGTGTATTTATATTCTTGAAAAAAAAAAAAACTCAGGATATTACAGCGTCCAGGCACCAGATGTCGCACTAACTTTAGAAACTACAACGACTTAACATGGTAGTCCGAGATGTTTTCCTTGACTATATAGCCGAAATTACCATCAACGAATACGAAGGCCATTGGGAAATAACTGCTAAATTAGCCTTGATTAACACTTATGGTATAAATGCAAACTGTAAATATAACATGGAATTATATAGAAATATTTGGAACATTACATTCAGCAATTTGAACATACAGAGTATGTTATAGGAGATATTCGCATTTATGGAATTCCTTTTTTTCTGGAATATTTAAGTCTTCACAGCGCACCTTTCAGGAAGAGAGAGCACCAAAGAGGCGCGTGACAGATCCGCGCGCGCTCACGCCTTGCTCACTTGTGTTGTGTCAAACACGTTCAATTATAGCATTGCTCTTTTGCGATTTCCCGAACAGAAACCAAAAACATAAACGGGATTATGCTGGTTGAACTTCGTCGATTTAGTGGAATAAGTGGCTTCAAGCGCTTATATTGATCTGGCTACGCACTGGTGAGTATATATGTGATCCTACAGCTCTACACGACAAGTGCATTACTTCTTTACTATTTGATTAAATAACACCTAGACAGGTAACCGGTCAGGAAAGTTGTCATTAATGCATAGGGTTATTTTCAACGTCTTATTATCCGTCCTACTGCAATTTTTAGTCATTTGAAAATATTAAACAAACTCATCATCATTGTCTGTACTGAGTCAATACATTATCAGCCACAGATCAGATTATACATCAATTAAGTATTTAATCTCTTTTAAAATTTTGTTTCACATTTAAAATATTTTAAATGAGCTAATCTGCAACCTGATTCCCTGTATGCTCATTCGTGCAAACGTTGTTGTGTCATAGATTACACTTTAGTTGAAGAATTCATTTTCAAGCTCATAAGTTGTTGATTTGACTTGCCTAGATGTTGCTGTGTCTAATTTTAAAGGGGTCTTATGATGCTGCTAAAAATAACATTATTTTGTGTATTTGGTGTAATGAAATGTGTTTATGCGGTTTAAGGTTAAAAAA